CCCCATTCCCACGACCTCCCCCTTCTCCTCTCCCTCCACCGACCCTCTGCTCACTCCACTGAGCTGCCCTGTCTCCAGGCTGCTCTTCCAATGCCAAGTTGGTTTGCACCTCAGGGCCCTTGCCCATGCTGTTCTTTCTGCTGGAATGCTATTCTCCCCAGACTTTCCCGCTGGCTGACTCCTCTTCCTCTTCCAGATCTAGGCTGGAAGGGCACCTCCTCCAAGTGGCCCCCCAGTCGCACTCTGTCTCTTTCTCTGTTTAATTTCGCCCCTGCATACATCACTTCACCACTGCTCTCCCCATGAGAACGTGAGCTCCGAGGCCAGGGTCTGGGATTGACTTGTCTCCGCATCCCCTGTGCCTCGAACAGGACCCAGAACCCAGTAGGTGCTCAGAAAATGTTTGTTGGGTGAATCTCGCCCCCAGCTCAGACAAACGCAGCCCCCAAAGGTGGGCTGTCCACACTCACACACATCCACACCACCAGCACGAGGCAATTCTTCCCCCTCCTGGGCTTTGGTTTCTCCCATCAGTAAACAGGTGGAAGCACTGAATAAGTGTCCTCTGAGCTTTGGGGACCTGAAAATGCCAACTTACAGGAACACCAATGTGACCCTGGAAGAGAGGATTTTCTACCATGTTCTCCAAAAGAAAGTGAGCTCTCCATCATGGGGGGCATTCAAGCCAGTTCCAGTATACTTGGGTTGGAACTCTAGTCTGGACTCTGGATTCCAACAAGTCCCCACCCAACCCTACCTTCCAAGCTGTGTGTCCTTAAGCCAGTGATGAAACTCCTCAGGAACCTCATTTACAAACTGGCACGGGCCTCCCAGGGTGTAGTGAGTGCCCAGCGAGGCGCTTGTGAAACACTTTGCAAGCACCAGGGCAGGATCAAGACGAGAAGTATTGTCATTATTAAATAAATTCACAATTCAGTGGCTGTTGCTGAAACGTCTGCACGCAGGACCACAGGGCCCCAGCCAGCCCACCAGACCCAGGTGAACTCACCCACGTCCCCGGCGTGGCAGGCTCAGCTCCTTCTGAAATGAGACAAAAAGGGGGATCATTCCCAGGGAGACAAGCCCTTGAATCCCTGGTCCTCTACCCACTGCACCCCCCAATCAGCTCCTTGCTTCCCCTCCTCCAGCAGATGCCTTTCCACCAGCTGTGCCCTCTCTGAGGACCGCCTTCTCTCCCCTCCGGCCCTAGTTAATTGCAGTTCATACCGCGGGTCTCAAGTTCATGCACCTTTCCTCCTGGACGCCCTCCAGACTCCCAGTCTACCTCTCCATCGGGCTCCTACCCTACCTGTGTTAAAAATAATTTTATAACAGATTGGTTATATTTCTAAAGGAGTGTGTCAACAGTGGCTGAAAACTAATAATTCGTTGAGGAAAGGGAGATTTCTGAGTTGTCTTTGCTCTGCCCCCTCTCAGATGTCTTTCCCCTCCCCATTCTGAAAGCCATCCCCTCCCCACCCTCTGCAGAGGCCTGTGTAGGTTTGGGCCCTGGGAACTGGTAGGGGATGGGGGCACAGACCAGTGCTACTTTCTTTTTTTCTTGTGGCTGGCCAGTATGGGGATCTGAACCCATGCTCTCCCACGTCAGTGACTCCCTTTTGAAGACCCTTTTAGAGCTCAGCAAGCTGACCTGCACCAACTCTGGGTGCCCTCACCATGTGCAGGGAAGAAAGTTCTAGGCTTGGGGTCCACTGTAACTCCAGAGTCCACCCGCAGACATGGCCTGCCCAAAAGGTTTTTAAATTTTCAAAAGGCTGTGTAGCACAAGTTTAGAATCTGGGGACACTCAAATCTGGGTCCGGTTCTATTATGTGTTCCTTTCTGGCTATGCAAGTGATTTGTAGCCCGGGCCTCAGTTTCCCCATCTGTAATGTGGAGGAAACATCAGGAGGGTTCCTGGGTAATAATGATCAGCCATTATGACTATTGTTGTTGTATGCTGTTGTATTATTGTGGAGCTCAACGAGGGCCTAGGAAGCTATCATAATACCTGGTAAATTTTGCACACATGTACGGAGGCACCTACTATGCACCAGGCGCAGGGGTCGTCTTACGGGTTGGGAAACTGAGGCGTGGAGGGCAGTTAGCTCATCGTGTCTATGGGCAGGGGGAGAGCCGAGAAACTGGGTCTCAGGACCCCCCACACACATATTGGGGCGGCCGCGTTGGGGACATACAACTATTTTTACCTCAGCGGGCTCTAGGCTGCCCACGTCCAGATCAGGGTGTTCGCCATGGCAACCAGTGACGTCATCGGCCCCCGCAGCCAATTGGAGGGGGCCGGAAGCCGCCAAGAGCGGGATGACCCGGCTGGGAGGAGTTGGCAGGGTCTCCGGGCAGGGTAGAGTGGGACTTCACCCCTAGGCCTGACCCCAGCTACCCTGCGCTCAGAAAACCGAGCAGTTCAGGATGGGAGGAGACCACCTGAGGTTTCCCTGTCTGCTTGAATACCTCCAGGGACAGAGAACTCACTACCATTCAGGACAAGCAGCCCGATCGAGGAACCATCATCATACCATTAGGACCTCCTTTTGCCCCCTCCAATCGCTGTGGGATTTTATACCCTCTCCCTCCACTACCCCACATGAAACAGGGAAGGATTTTAATCCAGGGGTCCTAGCCGTACCCCACTCCCATCCAGCCATTTCCTTCCAAAGCTCTGACAGTCCTCGGTTGCCAGTCCGGCTTCCCCACTCCTGCACTGTGTGACTCTTGCTAAGCGACTTAACCCCTCTGTGCCTCACTTTCCTCATTTGGAAAACAGCCTAGTTACCTAGGGTCCTGAGAAGAATCAATGAGCAGCAAGCTCAGGGCCTGGTGCTGGGGGAGACCTCGATAAATAGGAGCTAATACAATCATGTTGTGAGGTTAGTAATAACCACCAGTTTATTATTTATTTATTATTATTATTTTTTTAAAGATGATCGATAAGGGGATCTCAACCCTTGGCTTGGTGTTGTCAGCACCACGCTCAGCCAGTGAGCTAACCGGCCATCCCTATATAGGATCTGGACCAGTGGCCTTGGTGTTATCAGCACTGCACTCTCCCAAGTGAGCCATGGGCCGGCCCATAACCACCAGTTTAAATTGGCTTCCAAAATACAAAAAGATGTGAAGTGGCTAAAAGAGGTGAGGGAAAGCTGGCAGCCCCCTGCCAACACTCTGCAGGAAGCTGGACCCACACAGAACTCTCCTAGCACCACCCCCGGACCCTCCGCTCCCCACACCATCTGCTTCCACCCGCAGCCCCCTCTCAGCCGGCTGTTCCTCAGGGAGTGGTTCCCACCCAGAGAAGGACGGGTGGGGGCCCCGACCCCCTGGAACTGCTCTTTAAAGATAATATTTATGGTCTCCCCATCTGTACTAAATGTAGCTGGGTGATGCTCCCTGACACCCCAAGCCTCAGCCCCACCCTGAGGAAGCCCCAGTTTGGAAGAGACAGAGCAGGATACGGGCACCCCCATACTTGAGAGATTAGGAGGGACCCGCATGGAGAGAAGGGCTTGGAGGCATCCAGAGAGAGGAGCCAAGGGGCTTCCTGGGGTAGGGGCATCAGAACAGCCCAGCAGGCAAGTGGGAAACAGCAGTCCAGGCCCAGCAAACAGCACGTGCAGAGGGTGGGGTGGGACTCAGCCTGGGGACACCGAGCCCCATGGGAAGTTTGCTGCCCTGGAGTGAAACAGGACAGAGTCAGCATGGGTACATGCCACGAGCCCGAGGGTTTCCTGGAGGAGAATACGTGGACCTGGGCCATGGGAAGCAGGGTTGCTTGGAAGGAGGCACCTTCCACGGAGTCCCCCCAGTAGCAGCGGAGACAAAGTTCAGACACTGGCTCTGGCCACTTTCTCCACCCTGGGATGCTCTGTTTGGGAATCTGGTGTTTTGAAATTCTGTCGTGTGCAAAAAAAAGGTCCAAGTGGGAATGAAGAAAATGATTATAACAGTAGTAGTAATTTCCAGCTCACATTAACCGGCGCCTGCAAACCTAACGCACAAGACAGCTTCACCCAAACTAGGAAGGACCAGTCCCCACCTCCTCCTGTGACCCACGCTACTGCAAACTGGCGGCTCCCAGGCCAGGCCAGCCCTGTCTAAGCCCTCACCTGCACGCAGCCAACCGCATGGCTCCCATGGCCACGACTGGACAAATGTCCGCGGATACTGTCTGAGTTGGCCCATCAGCCCCTGACTTGAGTCCCCTGTGCTTCTTCCAGCGTTTGTGAATTGACTCTTTGATCCTGGGTTCAGCCTCCAGGAAATCTGATTGGCTCTCACCAGCAGCCTGTCACCTGTCACCGGACATTTGACAGGGGCTCCAGTTAAGGGAGCTCCGAGACTGACTGACTGATGCTCAAAGATGGAGGCCCTCAACATCTGTGCACTTTCAGGAGTGAGACCAGTTAGAATTCCAGCTCTCTGGCTTACGGGCTTGTTACTTTCCCTCTCTGAGCCTCAGTTTCCCTCTCTGAAAAATGGGACTAATAATAGCACTGACCAGTCAAGCTGTTAGGAGAATTGAATCCATGTACAGTGCTTAGCCTGTTAATATGAAGTTATTACCACTAATAATATTTTACTAATAAGTTACTAATATTTTATTATTGTTTTAACCTTCTCCCATTTGGACCTTTATTCCAGCCTCCTCCCTGGATTCCCACCACTCTTTTAGCCCCTTACTGGCTCCAGAGGAGTCTTTCCAGCCCCCAAATATCAGAGTGTCCTCCCCTGCTCCATTACCTTCCATAGCTCCCCATCACCCTAGGGAGAAAGTCTAACCTTTTCAAAATCAGCACCGAAGGCCCTAGAAACAGCTGGTCCCTGCCACCGGCCAGTCACTCTCTCTCACACCTCAGCTCTAGTGCTAATAAATGGCTTCTAGTTCTAATTTCCCATACAACAGGTAGGGCTTCATGCCTCTGGGCCTTTGCACTGCTGTGCCCTCTGCCCCTAGCGCCCTCATGCACCTGGGACATCTGTCCTTATCCCTTCACCTCTCTGGATGGAGGCCAGTGCTGGGTTGGTCTGGAGGGGGAGCTGCACCTGTCTCGATTCAAATGTTGATTCTCACCTACAATCTGTGAGACCTGGACAAGGGCTATGCTTCTCCTAGCCTCAGTTTCCCCTTTTAAAACGTGGGACTCATCATCAGGGAATGTTTGACACCCCCCCTCATGGAACGGGCCGCATTTTCTGACGTCAGCAGCGCCCCCATTCGCCTACCCGGAGGCGGTTTCTCTATTTTAAGAGGCCGCGGGCGGGGCTGGCGTCTAACTGGGGCTCCAGGCAGGGCCTGCCCCCACCACAACACCCCGCTGCTCGCCAGTCCCGCCCGCCTCCTCCTTTCCCCCCGGGCCCCCAACTCCTGCCTCTGGCCTGGACCCCTCCCGTTCTACTCCCCCAAACCCCCGCCACGCCCTGGGGGGTGTTTCTGACCTGCGGCTCTGCTGGCGCCCTCCCTGACCACCCCCACGTGACTCCCCATCACCTTCTGCTGAGTTCGCA